ATGCTGGAATAAATTTCTGGAAGAAGCTCGGAATAAGGAGATTTTTAAAGCTTTTAACTACACTAAAAAAGAGATCTATCCAAAAACTACCTATCTTGACCTATTCTGTGGGAAATCAAGAAAAGCAAGCAATCTCTTTTCAAGATAAATGCCATGCATTTCTTTCCACCTTGTTCCAAAACCCCGGAGGCTGTGCCCATTGAGTGGCCAACCAACCAGGCAAAATCAACCAACTGGCCAGTAACCAGCGAAAATGAAGTATACACTGCTATCTTTAGTAGTTCTACTAAAAAGGCCCCGGGACCCGATGACATTTCATTTTTAATTATTCAAAAGGCTTACCAAAACATTGCTCCAAGATTCCACGAGCTTTATAAAGCCTTAATTAAAATGGTTATCATCCCAGATGCTGGAAAACTGCCAAAGGGGTTATCCTTAAAAAATCGGCGTCCGCTAAAAGGGATTACTCCAAGCCAAAGGCCTACAGAGTTATTTCCCTGCTTAACTGCCTAGGCAAAGTGGTAGAAAAGATTATTGCAACTAGATTATCCTATCTAGCCGAACTCCCGCAATCAATTCTTTACTATGACCAAATGGGGAAGAAAAAAAAACATCTGCAATCGATACAGCGCTATCCCTGGTTCATGACATAGAGCTGGCAAAACATGACAAAAAGTTACCACAGCCCTTTTTATTAATGTAAAAGGGGCGTTTGACCATGTCTCACTTAATAGTTACTTCGAGTTTGCCTCAAACTAGGCCTTCCACATAGCCTGATTAGGTGGATTGAGTCATTTATGTCAGATAGGAAGGTATTTCTTGCATTTATGGGGAAACCAGCAAGGAGACGCCAGTCCAGGTAGGGATCCCCCAAGGATCACCTATATCACCTATTCTGTTCCTTATATATATTAAAGAGCTTTTTCAGCTTGACATGTATGAGGAACTAGATAGTGACATAAGGAAAGCATTTAAAAATATTCGAAAACCTAGCTATATAGATGATATATGTCTAAGTATTAGCTCTAAAAGCCTAGGAAATAACTGCAGGCAAATCGAGCTGGTAGCCAACGCAATATTTCAAAAAGGAGCCAAAGACCATATCAATTCGACAGGATAAAATAGAGCTTATTCATTTTAGCTCTAAACAACCGGATCAAGAAAAGGAAGACACCCAAGTTAGACTAGATAACAATATCAAAGTCAAACCAAGCCCAATGGTAAAATGGCTAGGAATCTACTTAGATTCTAAACTCCTTTTTAAGGAACATGTCCAATTTAGAGTTGCATCTGCAACCCGAACATTTCACCAAATAGCGAGGCTTTCAAATACAGAAAGGGGCTAAGTTTTCAAGCCATAAGACAACTTTATATTGCTTGTGTTTCCTCCATTGCAGATTACGGAGTCCCTTTATGGTGGAAAGGCCAACAGTATTTGGTAGACCACTACCAAAAACTGCAAAACACAGCTCTGAGAAAGATTCTAGGGACTTTTAAAACATCGCCTGTACAGGCCATGGAAATAGAAGCATCCCTACCCCTCTATTGGTTAGATTTAATAAAATCTGCAGAAACTATGTACTTAGAACTGCTTATTTTATAAAATCCCATGCAATTTAAAAGCAGACTCCCTACCACATTTATGCTAAACCCCGGGGAATTCTTTATTGACCAATCAAGGTTTTGGATTGGAACGAGAAACCTAGATTACTAGATGCAGAAGACCCTGAATACCACCCTAGAGAGAGAAAGAGAAAATACCCTAGTTAGTTAATCCGACTACTAGCACTATTCTCCTTTAAGACGTGGAAAGGCACCTTTCAGACGCTAGATCAAACCCTACCGCCCTGGTCCCAAGTGTTAAACCAAGTAGTAGATATATCTATATCTAGCAAACCAAAAGAGCAAGCAGCCCAGGAACACAAGACGCTAATATCTCAATGGCTTGCTAATAGGGATAACCACAAAATTATCTTCTATTCAGATGGATCCCAGCTGCAGAGTGGTCAAAACGGAGCAGGAATTTTCCTCCTAGAGAATAATCCTCAAAATCAAAAGGCTTGGGCGTGGAATCTAGGTCATGAATACGAGGTCTACGATGCGGAGTTATTTACTATTCAAAAAGCATTAAAACAAGCATTTAAGGCTATTCAAATTCCAACTTTAGATATCTACATCTTTTCAGACAGCCAAGCAGCCCTAAAAAGGCTTCAATCAGCAGACACCAGCTATGAACCATACCAAAGAATCTTTAAATGGGCAACTAGAATTAAGGATAAGAATATCAATATTCATATCCAATGGGTTCCAGGCCATCAGGGAATTTTTGGTAATGCCAAAGCTGACGAAGCAGCGAAATATGGCGCAGAATGGACAAGTAAATATTATAAATGTCCAATTTCAGTTAGCCATCTCAAACGAGAGCTCAAAGCGAAATGCCTTGAGGATTGGGATACAGCATGGGAAAATGCTAGGAAAAGTGATCAATATAGGGGCTTTAATTCTATAGCTTCATGGAAACCAAGCCCCCTAAAGCTTCCCAAAGCAGACCTGGTCAACCATTATCCAGCTAAAGCTAGGGCATGGGTATTTTAGATCCTATCTAGTTCGAACACCTAACTACGATAGCGATATATGCACATCGTGCTGCAGCGACAAGCGCCAAACTCCGCACCACCTACTTTTTCAGTGCCAGGCATTTAGGGATATTAGAAAAGGGTCTATAGAGACCCTAGACAAAAAAGACCGAAATCTGCCTTATCTGTTTACAAAAAAAGCAGGGCAAGAGCAACTGGTTAAATTTTTAAAGGAAACCGGGATCGCCACTAGAAAGTGGCTCCTGGATCCTTAAAACAAAAATGTCAAAAACAATAGAAAAAAGGAAAACAGAGCAAAAATAAAAGAGTTGGAATTTCACATGGTTTAACCCCTTTTATAAGGTCCCCCCCACTCCTAGAATGTCATACTGCTTATTTATATTTGATTTTACCCACTATGTACGTATCTGTTTGTTAGTTCAAATCCTACCACCCAGGGGTGGTAGGTAGAGCATGCATAGTCTTTGACTGAAAAATGCTCTATAATATGGAAGAATAATAATAATAATAATAATAATAATATGTTACAAAGAATATTTCCACACTATTTAATCCCCATCCCCATAAGGCATTGTTCCATAACCAGCCCCATGAATTAATATTGTGGAACAGTAATAGTATATAGTAGTAGGCGCAGAATACATTGCAATTATTATATATATAGTAATATAATTAAAGGCACTGGTAGTAGTGGTAATATTATATTTATGTTATTACCAGATATATATAAAGCAAGGATTATTTAGTTATTAAAGTCCAGCGAGTCTAGTGGAAGAGTTAATACACATAGTTTAGTATATATTTCCTGTGTGGGATGCCAACCAATATATATATAATAAATAGCAGACTAGTGCCCATAGGAGGTATGCATATAATAATATATTATAATATACAAAGCCAGTGCAGGTATTATAGGAATAGTATTTACTAGAGTTAAGGGCAGATTAGTAGATAGTAATGTGTATTCCGGATTTTTTGGACCAGCAACCATAGAGATATAAGCAGGAGAATGTATAAATCCCGTTATTTTATTATATTATTTATTAATTGTGGTAGATATATATGCAGGTACAGTTCCAAGTTAATAATATATATTATATTTTAATATAAGTTTAGGAAGACATAAGGGTTATCCATGTTGTATATTATATAATATATAAGAGCAGGATCCAATAGTAAAACAGACATAATTAAGACCCGCGAATAAATATATAATAGGTGATATATTATAGTTAATAGATTAAAATCATAGAGGTTATATTGGGGGTTAACTAAAATATCTAATAAGGCCAGTAAAAGAATAGATTAAAACGTCAAGAGAGATTATTATAAATAGATCAAATTAACCGGAATTTAAAAGGTTAAGTTCCAATATTGCAAGTAGTAAATCATACAAAAAAGCAGCAAAGTTTACCCAGAATTGGATATATTAATATATATCAAAACCAGTATCAGTAATATATATCCATTCCAGGCAAAGTGTTAAAAATATAGGTGTTAATTAAATTATAAATAATATCTATTAGGTAAAAATATATTAGATGCCCTATTCCACAAGCCATGGTGTACGGGCGGAGTTATACAATTAGGGTATGCGGGAAGACAGCCTCTGATTAGCTAGTAATATAGGTCACCCACGGCTTATACATTTACAGTTCCACGGCTTGTACAAATAGATCCCATGGTCCGATTGTTCTTAAAATTTTATAGATAAATGCTCCCGGTCCATTTTATAAACTGGTCGCTCCGGAGGTCCAAATTCGCCCGGGAAGGTGGTGTGTTGTGGAGCCGAAAAAGTAGACTAGATTTGTTAGGGTGCTGCCGCAGCTATCCCGACAAGGGATTAGCATGGCATGTTATTAAGGGGTAACCACCAGAACTTCGACTAATATTATCCATTCCATATTATTTAACCAGTGTCAATCCCAGTATTCAACCAGATTTAATCCGTCCCATGGCCGAGCAATTATTTACCAGGATCCCCGAGCTGAGGGTGATTATCTGCCGGAAATGTTAGTTTGGTGTCCGGCCGAGTGAGGTTTAGCACTATATAAAGCAACATCATTTGAAATCACACACTGAGGCGGTGCAGATTGCCACCACGGTGTCCCAGTGGGATAATATTAAGCAGGATCCGAATAAGATCCAGATCCCCACGCGATTGGACTATCTATTGCCCGTGATCCCATGTGCGCACAGTAGAATACTATACCAGCGCAATTATCCTACATGTGAATTTATTAAAATTATATTAGAGTCTATGCGGGTTCATTGGTCCCGTGTATATGGTTGGTCCCCCACGGTCGTCGCGGGCGGGCTCGCAAAGCCGACCAGATTCGTGCAGCAGCAGAGATCCAGCGATTATTTAAGCCCGTGTCATGGTAGCAGATATTCCCCGGCGGGATGGGTTCCCATTATATTTATATTCGATTTCCCGACCAGACCACCAACGAGCTAGCCACTGCCATGGACATGGAGGACATCCAGCACGCTGTCCAGGAGCTGGAGAACACGTGGAAAGAGGCGCAGTCCATGCAGAGTATAATTCAGGCATCTAATATTACCAACACCAACCCATGGCTGCGCATGACCAGGTGGTCCGAGTATTTGGAAGGAATCGCACCAAAGGATCTGACCGACAGCGTGGCGCCGCCCGAGGAAGAGCCCATGGATCCTGTGGAGCAGGGCGTGCGCCATATTTGGGCCGCCATGGAGCAGGTCGTGCGCAAGAGCCAGCGCGTGGTCCAGCATAGCGGCCAGGCAATCTGCATTAAAGCCATCCAATCCGAAAAGGGTCAAACGCCATATCGACCGTTGCAGGTGTATATGGATCCCGAGAGCGTGGTTAAGCATATACAGCCATGGCAGTAAATATTAGCATTTATCGCGCGCACCCAGGCGCCACACGAATGGACGAGTCCCCGTACGGGATAACAGCACGGCAGCGCAAGAAATAGCGGCAGTTATGGCACCTCGCCACTACCCACCGGGATATTCACAGCGAGCCGCAGGACGAGGATACAGCATGGTGCATAACCCCGATTAAAGGCGCATGTTTAGAGTTCTACATCAAGTTGCTAAACTAAAAGCAGTATAGCTATAAGTACAAGAGCGTGCTTGTATATGCCATGGCCGTGTTAGGATAGGGCCAGGACCGATGGCAGGGCCCGGAGAGTTATCCCCGATCTTATCGCGTGTGATCAAGGTGGCGTGCTTTATAATTGTCCAGAAAGCGCTTTGGTTGGATCTGAATCCCGAGGAGATTATCGCGGTGTGGCAGAAGAAGAGTAACTGCGCGCAGTGGGTGCTTGCTAGCGCCGACAACAAGCTGGAGGATATTTATTCAGACGAGGGATATTACAGTTAACTAGAGCAAGGCATCCCATCGTCGCCACCCATATCGCCCATTACCAGCAGTAATCCCCAACCGATAGTGAATATCCGCCGGCAGAATCACAGGAAAACATTCCAGGAGCACGTGGAGTGGATAGTACAGCGGTTTATAATGCGTGGCACCCACAGCCTGATACAAATATTGCAGGATTGGCGCACGTACAGGTTAAAGATCTATTATAACACCACAGCACCCGGGCACATTACATGGAACCATAGCGACGAGCTCGGATACAAGCATATCACATTTACCATGGGCGATTTCCGCGGATTTGTCTATGGATTGGTCGGGGCCACGCGCCAGATATTGTGCGACATACTGTGCGTGACATCGCGAGAAAACATTCCCAGTATTCCATGGCACGCGATCTACGACGACCCCACGCAGGCTATGGCAGGATAGAATTTTTGCGGGACCAGCGCACGCAATGGCCGGTAGGGCCCATGTGGATAATCGGCCGGTTGCGGGCCGAGCCGGCCATGCAGAAAGAGTTTACTATCCGGCGCCAAGCCCGACGGCTGCACATGCCGAAGGTGGCGCAGTATCTGGAGCGCGTGGCGCGATTTAAGGAGAAATTAGCAGTGCTTGTTCACGTGGTATCCGGCCAGCCAGCACGCGTGCCCGAGTTATTAAGTATTTAACATATAAATACCGTGGCGAATCGACAGCGCAATATCTATATCGAGGACAGGATGGTGGCGTTGGTGACGGCGTACCACAAGGGGTTTTACGCGAGTAACAATATAAAGATTATTCATCGATTTGTGCCACGGGAGGTAGGTGAATTAATTGTGTGGTATTTATAGTTAGTATTGCTATTTGTGCAGCAACTAAGCGCATGGCATGCGAAGGAGACGCAGGGCACCACGGCGCAGGGCATGCACGCAACGCAGGGAGTGCATGCAGTGCAGGACACCACCACAGCGCAGGGCACCACCACAGCGCAGGGCACCACCACAGCGCAGGGCACCACGGCGCAGGGCATGCACGCAACGCAGGGAACGCACGCAGTGCAGGGCACCACCACAGCGCAGGGCACGAACGCAACGCAGGGCACGCAGGGAATACGCTTAGTACAGGCACCACCACCACAGCGCAGGGCACCACCACAGCGCAGGGCACCACGGCGCAGGGCATGCACGCAACGCAGGGGAACGCACGCAGTGCAGGGCACTACCACAGCACAGGGGCACGAACACAACGCAGGGCACGCAGGGAATACGCTCAGTACAGGGCACCACCACAGCGTAAAAGCACCACCACAGCGCAAAGCACCACAGCGCAGGGCATGCACGCAACGCAGGGCACGCAGGGAATACGCTTAGTACAGGGCACCACCACAGCGCAAAAGCACCACCACAGTGCAAAGCACCACCACAGCGCAAAGCACCACCACAGCGCAAAGCACCACCACAGCGCAGGGTACCACGGCGCAGGGCACGCACGCAGCGCAGATCCGCGAGGATGCGTTTTTATGGGGCCCCGACCCTGGAACCCGGCGCAAATGGACGTCCGAGCGGTTCCGGGAGGTGTTAAAGCGCGAAACCAAGACCCGCTTAAAGCAGGCTATTAATATCCAGTGGTATCGGGATATCACCATTGGGATTAGCCGCCGATTTTTGCGAGCCACCGCCGCGTTTGCCAGTAACATGCAGGAGGAGAGAGACTTGGCACAGGCTGTGTTAAACGCCGACACCGAGGAGGGTATGGACGAGGAGCAGTGGTTAAGCTATATTATAGACTTGCAGGCGGCGCATTCATCCCAATTGGCGGGTGGAGTATACGGCCGTGGTATTATAAAGCAGCCCGGGACCACGGCGCATCGCCGCGCAATGTTTCGGCTCTCCAGCACTGATTGGCACCGGTTTTGGGGTTTGCATCCGCCGCGGAGCCCAGCCCGTTGGGGAAGCGCAAGAGATTACCATGGGAGGACGAAGCCGAGGAGGGCCGAGTCGTCCGACGTCACCGGTTAAATATTGCAGATATGCGCACCACATTGCAGCATATAACCAGGCAGGAGGATATCCAGTTCCGGGGCGTCCAAGCACCGGCGTTGCGCGCCATTCAAGACGGTAAGAGCCCGGTTATCGCCATTATACGCACCGGAGGGGAAAAAGCATGTTGTTTATGTTACCTGCATTTACCAAGCCCAGTGGTACTACCATTGTGGTCGTGCCATTAATATCATTGCGGAACGATATGGTGCGGCGCTGTCGCGAGTTGGGTATATCCTGTATTAAATGGGATAGTCGACGGCCACCGGACGAAGCGACAATTGTACTGGTCACACCGGAATCCGCGGTGCAGGAGGATTTTCAAACGTTTATTAACCGGTTGCAGTAAACACGCCGGTTAGACCGGATCGTGATCGACAAATGCCATGTGATATTAAACGACCAAACGGATTTCCGACCCGAGTTGCGACAGCTGGGGCGGTTAAACCACGCGCGAACCCAGATAGTGTTATTAACTGCCACGTTGCTGCCGCAGTTAAAGGCGAAGTTATTCCGGCGCATGGAGTATTCCCGCGAGCAAGTCTATATATTTCGGGACCGGACAAGCCGTCCCAACGTGGCGTATCGCGTGTGGCGGCCTGAGCTAGGTCGGTGTTCCATGCAGTGGTTTACCAGCGAGCCGGTGCTCGCGTTTATCCGCGAGCGAATCCAGCGCGCCAAGGATGGCAAGGTGGTGGTATACGGCCATGTGGTCCGTTAGGTAGTGGAGATTGCACGCGAGTTAGCGTGCGAGGTGTACTATAGCAAGCAGGTTAACAAGCCATCTATATTACAGCGCTTTACCCGGGGCGAGGCGCGAGTAATTACTGCCACCAGTGCATTGGGCATGGGTGTGGATATCCCCAATATTCGCAGTATTATCCACATTGGAACACCGCGGTCGTTGTTGGAGTACGGGCAGGAAAGTGGGCGAGCCGGATGGGATGGCCAGCGCAGCGAGGCGATTATTATCCAGCCCGAGGGCTGGGACGAGCCCATGCCGGAGACGCCAGAGGCCGTGGCGGATCGCGAGTTAGTGGACGAGTATCTCGGGGGTGGCGCCCGGGGTGGGATGTCGACGGTTTGTATTAGACGCGTATATAAACGAAACAGTAAATGGCTATACACGCCGATACTGTCAGGATATTGATTCCACGGAGGCACTATGTGATGGCTGTGACGCTGATTGGCTCGCGCAGGAGTCGGTTTGCATGTCCCCGGACAGATATTCCCCGGACACCCGCATGGACGATCTCGCCAGCACAACAAGCCCACCACGCGAGATAAGTGCTACGGGCAGTCCCCATTCCCATGGTAGTGGCCAATTATTTCCATTATCGCATATTATACCGCAGAGCACGTAGAATATCGCGCCAAATCCCACACGCCGGTCCCAATCCCATGACAGTACAGAATTGTTTAAAACTCAAGTAATATCGCATGTTATACCGCAGAGCATGTAAAATATCGCCCCCAATCCCATGCCCACGGTTAGTATCGCTGAACGCCAGCGCCAACATGTGCAAGACCAGCGCCATGCAGCGCCCCATATTTAACACCAGGCGCAAGATTATTATTATTATTATTATTATTATTATTATTCTTCCATATTATAGAGCATTTTTCAGTCAGAGACTATGCATGCTCTACCTACCACCCTGGGTGGTAGGATTTGAACTAACAAACAGATACGTACATAGTGGGTAAAATCAAATATGAATAAGCAGTATGACATTCTAGGAGTGGGGGGACCTTATAAAAGGGGTTAAACCATGTGAAATTCTAACTCTTTTTATTTTTGCTCTGTTTTCCTTTTTTTCTATTGTTTTTGACATTTTTGTTTTAAGGATCCAGGAGCCACTTTCTAGTGGCGATCCCGGTTTCCTTTAAGAATTTAACCAGTTGCTCTTGCCCTGCTTTCTTTGTAAACAGATAAGGCAGATTTCGGTCTTTTTTGTCTAGGGTCTCTATAGACCCTTTTCTAATATCCCTAAATGCCTGGCACTGAAAAAAAGTAGGTGGTGCGGAGTTTGGTGCTTGTCGCTGCAGCACGATGTGCATATATCGCTATCGTAGTTAGGTGTTCGAACTAGATAGGATCTAAAATACCCATGCCCTAGCTTTAGCTGGATAATGGTTGACCAGGTCTGCTTGGGAAGCTTTAGGGGGCTTGGTTTCCATGAAGCTATAGAATTAAAGCCCCTATATTGATCACTTTTCCTAGCATTTTCCCATGCTGTATCCCAATCCTCAAGGCATTTCGCTTTGAGCTCTCGTTTGAGATGGCTAACTGAAATTGGATATTTATAATATTTACTTGTCCATTCTGCGCCATATTTCGCTGCTTCGTCAGCTTTGGCATTACCAAAAATTCCCTGATGGCCTGGAACCCATTGGATATAAATATTAATATTCTTATCCTTAATTCTAGTTGCCCATTTAAAGATTCTTTGGTATAGTTCATAGCTGGTGTCTGCTGATTGAAGCCTTTTTAGGGCTGCTTGGCTGTCTGAAAAGATGTAGATATCTAAAGTTGGAATTTGAATAGCCTTAAATGCTTGTTTTAATGCTTTTTGAATAGCAAATAACTCCGCATCGTAGACCTCGTATTCATGACCTAGATTCCACGCCCAAGCCTTTTTTTGATTTTGAGGATTATTCTCTAGGAGGAAAATTCCTGCTCCGTTTTGACCACTCTGCAGCTGGGATCCATCTGAATAGAAAATAATTTTGTGGTTATCCCTATTAGCAAGCCATTGAGATATTAGCGTCTTGTGTTCCTGGGCTGCTTGCTCTTTTGGTTTGCTAGATATAGATATATCTACTACTTGGTTTAACACTTGGGACCAGGGCGGTAGGGTTTGATCTAGCGTCTGAAAGGTGCCTTTCCACGTCTTAAAGGAGAATAGTGCTAGTAGTCGGATTAACTAACTAGGGTATTTTCTCTTTCTCTCTCTAGGGTAGTATTCAGGGTCTTCTGCATCTAGTAATCTAGGTTTCTCGTTCCAATCCAAAACCTTGATTGGTCAATAGAGAATTCCCCGGGTTTAGCATGAATGTGGTAGGGAGTCTGCTTTAAATTGCATGGGATTTTATAAAATAAGCAGTTCTAAGTACATAGTTTCTGCAGATTTTATTAAATCTAACCAATGGAGGGGGTAGGGATGCTTCTATTTCCATAGCCTGTACAGGCGATGTTTTAAAAGTCCCTAGAATCTTTCTCAGAGCTGTGTTTTGCAGTTTTTGGTAGTGGTCTACCAAATACTGTTGGCCTTTCCACCATAAAGGGACTCCGTAATCTGCAATGGAGGAAACACAAGCAATATAAAGTTGTCTCATGGCTTGAAAACTTAGCCCCCTTTCTGTATTTGAAAGCCTCGCTATTTGGTGAAATGTTCGGGTTGCAGATACAACTCTAAATTGGACATGTTCCTTAAAAGGAGTTTAGAATCTAAGTAGATTCCTAGCCATTTTACCATTGGGCTTGGTTTAACTTTGATATTGTTATCTAGTCTAACTTGGGTGTCTTCCTTTTCTTGATCCGGTTGTTTAGAGCTAAAATGAATAAGCTCTATTTTATCCTGTCGAATTGATATGGTCTTTGGCTCCTTTTTGAAATATTGCGTTGGCTACCAGCTCGATTTGCCTGCAGTTATTTCTAGGCTTTTAGAGCTATATTAGCATATATCATCATATAGCTAGGTTTAATATTTTTAAATGCTTCCTTATGTCACTATCTAGTTCCTCATACATGTCAAGCTGAAAAAGCTCTTTAATATATATAAGGAACAGAATAGGTGATATAGGTGATCCTTGGGGGATCCCTACCTGGACTGGCGTCTCCTTGCTGGTTTCCCCATAAATGCAAGAAATACCTTCCTATCTGACATAAATGACTCAATCCACCTAATCAGGCTATGTGGAAGGCCTAGTTTGAGGCAAACTCGAAGTAACTATTAAGTGAGACATGGTCAAACGCCCCTTTTACATTAATAAAAAGGGCTGTGGTAACTTTTTTGTCATGTTTTGCCAGCTCTATGTCATGAACCAGGGATAGCGCTGTATCGATTGCAGATGTTCTTTTTCTTCCCCCCATTTGGTCATGGTAAAGAATTGATTGCGGGAGTTCGGCTAGATAGGATAATCTAGTTGCAATAATCTTTTCTACCACTTTGCCTAGGCAGTTAAGCAGGGAAATAACTCTGTAGGCCTTTGGCTTGGAGTAATCCCTTTTAGCGGACGCCGATTTTTTAAGGATAACCCCTTTGGCAGTTTTCCAGCATCTGGGATGATAACCATTTTTAATTAAGGCTTTATAAAGCTCGTGGAATCTTGGAGCAATGTTTTGCTCACCGTCTTTGAGACCGTCGGGCGCGATCTCGCATGCAGGATATCGCTCCCTTGGTTGTCGCCAACCCCGATCACGCGCAAACGCGTCGCAGTGGTAGTGGAGTCCATCAATGTCCACCAGACACGACGACGGTGGGAATGTGGTGCAGCATTGGGGGTTAGCCTGGTGGTCATCAGTATGGGCGACTGGTTCCCCGACAGTCACGAACTGAGCCACCTCCGCGAGCGATTCATTGCCACCAATATCACACCCGATGCGGGCCTCACTGCGCGGATCATTGACGCTGTGCGGTCCTACCCCTTGCCGATCGACGGTATTTACACTACTGGCCATCACTGGCTGGTAGCGGTCGCAGACGCAGCGGAGATCTTAGGGCTGCCCACTGTTACGGAAACACTATAATCCGCCCGACTTGGCGGTGCGGAGTATCTGACGATCGATTCAACCCCTGAATCCTTTAGATAGTTGAGCACCTAGATAGGAATGCAAGAGACTCAGTTGGTTGAGATACTGCGATTCCTGGTGTTTCCACTGAATGACATCTACTTCCTAATTAGGCTAGTTGGCCTGTAGCTGATAGAATAGCTCCCTACGCCCCATTTCCCCTGAGTTCCACAACACCCACTGCCCCAGCGACCGCGTATCGCATAGCCTGCGACAAGTCCCAGACTGTCACGGTCCTAAACCTAAATTGAGGAGCTATCTGTAGAGGTGTTGCTGGGAAGGAGGGTGTAGGATTGTTAGGGACCTACCATATTCGGTATGGTCACGTGGCCTCACTTAGTCACCCATCTAGATAGTCAGCTCGCCTGAGCCCCTTGAATTCAGAGAATTGTGCCTCGCGAACAGGTTATGAGACCCTCTATATCTTCCTTTTAGAGCTGATATTACGTGGTTTTAAACCACCTGTTTTGTCTATTCAATTGCCTCTCGAGGAATTGATAATACTTTCAATTAAAATGGGCCCGAAGAAGGGAAAAGCGCCTGCTAGGGATGAATCTCCATACTGTACACCTGGCCCGTCCTCTCCTGCGATAATACGACCACCACCACAAGATACTGAGTCAGAGGAGGAGGATCGCATGGAATATGTATCAAGGGACCAGTTCAGGGATTTCCAAACGCAACTGCAGAGTCAAATGCAAACTCAAATGCAGCAAATAATGGAGCTAATTCAACGCAGTCAATCGCCCCTTTCAAGTACGCCTACTCCAAATCCGAAGCCCACGTCAACAGATCTACCGTCACCACGCGAGGATGACGCCGGCCGCGCGAGTATAATACAGGCAGTCAGCACCATGCGGAAGGATGTTGGTCGAAAGCTTCAATATAAACTACGATCTTTAAAGATTTCCAATTTCGCTGATTGGAAAGAGGATCTACTTAAAGACGCCCGTATTATAAACGCGGAGTCGATTTTAATCAACAAGGAGCTTAATCCACCAGACAGTGACGAGCTCAATTCAGCAATTTAGCAGATGAAGAATAAAGCTTTGGCTATCCGAATCTACCAATCAATGTCGCGAGAAGTGCAGGATCGCCTAGGTGAGATAGATATCTCGAAGGCAGCTGCATTATATATACAAATCTATGAGGCAATAGGTCAGACGAAGGCCCAGGAGTGCTATAACCTAGTGCGAGAAATCATTGATATTAAATTATATAATGGCGATTATTTGGTGTACAAGAGCAAGCTTTTAACACTCCAGGCACGCGCGAAACGCCTCCATGTGACTGTGGATAATATATTTCATAATATCCACTATATTCGCCTACGCAATTGGCAATCGAATTTTATAACGAATAAGCTTGATCCATTCCTTGCCTCAGGGGCAGGAAATCAACCGATTAAGAATACCGATCTAGTTAAGATTGACACAGTTAAAATTGCAACAATCTAATACGCCGTTTAAAGACTTCTGGATTAAACCAACAATCTGATGGATAAAAAAAGCCGGATAACGAGTTATCGGACTCTACCTCTTCTAAAATGCAAAATGTCTTGCAGTATTAAACACATTCTCTCACGAGGATATGCTGGTATCAGAATCCCGGGCAATTCTCTATAAAGCAACCCAGCGTTTCTAACAATAACAGTATAGGGCTACAAAAGGTGATCCTGCATATGCACCACCACCGAAGCCCTCGGCCTCTGCGAATTATGTTGCGGAATCAAGCACGCAACCACCTGAATGGTATGTGGATACATGCGCTTCGTACCACATGACCCCCCAACAAGACGTCTTTTCAACGTACGAAATTCTACCGACTGGTATGCCTAATATTGGCGGATCCTTAGGTGGACAAAAGCCTCCCCTGCTGAGGGAACGGCCCGAATAACGTTGAATAATGTTACCCTTGATATACCAGAGGTACGGCACGTACCTGGTTTGTCAGCGAATTTGTTAAGTTACACGCAGCTCCTAAAAACAGGTTTTAAACCATCGATCCCAGAGGACGCGTACACCAATATTGTTTTTACCAACGAAAATGGCTTGACTATTACTGCAGTCCCTTTAACAACAAACTGTTATAGGATTAATAGTATAGCATACAAGACATCTCCAGAGGAATTAGCCCTCGCGGCTATAGCCTCTAAATCACCTCAGGTGGCTACTATGATCCAATGGCATCGACGATTAGCACACCTAAATTACCCCGACATTTTGTGATTATCTCGTACGCCTGGCAGTCAGATTAAGGTCTCCGATCCCCAATCTCGGCCATTTTGCGATATCTGCCATGCGGCGAATCAGAAACGCAGCCTATCTTATACCTTGGCAAAACATGCCACGAGACCTCTTCAACATATTTTTATTGATATTGCGGGTGGAGGCAATACTCTGTCTGAACGCTATAAGCAGCTTAACGACCCTGCTTCTCGTACGGGTTCTTGCTATTATATGCTAATAACAGACGACGCAACGCGGTATCGGTGGATTATATTTCTTAAAGATAGAAAGCTCGTCTATTAACATCTCGAGCAATGGCTTAGCCACATGAAAAACAAAGGCTTTTAACCACCTGCGTTCGTGCATTGCGATAACGAATTTGTGACTAAGGAAATAACAAAATGGGCGAATAAAAATAGTGCAAAGATAGAACCAACTAATCCCTATTCCCCATAGCAGAATAGATCAGGTAAACACGCCAACCGGATTATTATCAAGTGTACGCGTGTGATTCTGCATGATTCTAGATTACTATATTAGCTCTGGCAGGACGCCATGCAACACGCAGTCTATATCACAAACAACGTCCCTACGTCTACTACGCTGTACGCAGATTACTCAGTTCCAGGGGGTATCTACCAATCCAGATATTCAGCCCTCGCAGTATGTTATACCGCATTCCGCATTTTTTAACAAGTATCCGCAGATTGCTCACATTCGTCCCTTTGGTTGTTGTGTTTGGTATTATAACGACCCAGGACATCAAGATTTTAACAAGATTGTTGGCCGCGGCGCTCCAGGCGTCTACATCAGCAGCGATTCTTCAACCAATCATAAGGTCTATGTCAAAGAGACAAACAAGGTTATTCGGACTGGCCATGTTTTATTCAACGAACAGGCTTAGAGGGAACAGCCTACAGAAAAACCGATTAATTCTACCATACCTCCGAGACCCTGAATATCTCGCGCAGGAAGCGCTGCATCTCATGGGGGATTCTCCCGCGGAGGATAACGGACAATCTGACTGGGTTCGACCTGCTAAAGGCTTTGCTCTATTCGCAGGATTTACCCCTACTTCGCCTCTTCTGCTGAGGCAAATCGGCCCCGATTCCAATACTTGGCAGGAAGCAATGAAATCACCTATAAAGAATAATGTTAGCAGCTTGCGAGCTTAAGCTTCCGTCTAAAAATTAAGGCATGGGACTTGATTATAAGAATCTATGCCTAAGGCTTAAGCCTATCCCTGGCGTTGGGTTTTTAGTTTAAGACCTTAATAACGGCACTTCAAATACAAGGCACGTTGGGTTATACGTGGTAACTTGGTTAAGCAAGATCCTTATTTTGGGGAGACATATTCGCCAGTGGTTTATCCCCAAACAATTAATATCCTATTCGCGGTTGCAGCTTATCGCAAATGGTATATCGCTCAGGCGGACGCGGTGCAGGCGTTTTTTAATAGTAAAGTTAATATACCAATATATATACACCAACCAACCGGCTTCTAAAAGGGTAATCCTGATACCATGGTTTGCAAGCTGAATAACACCCTGTACAGTCTCGCGCCTTCCGCACATATATGGTACGACCGTCTCCGCAGTGATCTTGAAGCTTTGGACTTTAAAACAAGCGACTACGACCCAGGCCTATGGATTCACCAATCTCGCAAGAATCTCTATGTGACTGCTCATGTAGATGATTTTGCTATTATTACCGCGCTTAAAGTAGACGCAGAATGGCTTCTAAGCGCAATGCAGCGAAAATTCGCGATTAAAAAGACAGCTCACCTCAAGCATTTCCTCGGCATGGAGATTACTTAATCTGATAGTCAGATTAAGCTTATGCAGACCTCTTATATTAATAATCTCGTTGCTTCGGCAGGGCTCGCAGATGCCTATCCAGTCTCTTTACCTGCAGATCCGGGTTTAGTTATCGATGACGACCCCGATCCCACTGTAAACGAGGAATATAATCGACTTACGGGTAGTTTTTGGCTTGGCTTGCCTTAAGAACCCGTCCAGATATTGCGCGTATCGCGAGCTTGCTAGCGCAGTTTAACAAGGCCCCTACCAGAAAGGTATTCGGAGCGGCCAAACACTTAATTCGATATTTGAAAGGATCTTGTACACGGGGTAGACTGCGGCAAAACCATGGACAACCGCGGATAACCAAAACCGCAACCGCAAATTTGCGGTTTTGGGGCTGATTTAAAACCGCAAACCGCACTGTGGGCGGTTGCGGTTTTCACTTTGAGAACCGCGGTTTTTGCGGTTATCCATGGATATGTAAACATTACAAACATGCTGAAACTCGTGACTTTCCAGTGAATGCATAAATTGTGCACTTTTCGCAGTATTTTTGGAGTATCTAGTATGTAATAGATTACCTATATCTCTTAATTTGAAACCTTTAGAATACACTTTTAGACCAAATTCGATTTCTCTTCTAAGTCTCTAATATTACAGCTTATCAATCTCAAATCCCTCAGGTAGCTTAGGCCTCTTCCGAACCCTCCCTGACCGCGCCTGCGTCTTCTCAATTGGCATATCGGGAAGTGGGAGACCATTATCAGCATCATCTATAGCCTCAGAGGTGTTACTTCGGCACCGCTTCCGTTGTACCTGCTTAGTTTGAGCTACAGGCTGCGTGGTAGATAACCCTTCTTCTGCCTCGTTATCAGATTCATCTGTATCATCCTCAGATAAATCCTCTGCTTCGCAACCCTCTTCTTCATTATCACTAATTGGTTCGAGTTCATTAAGCGATGGAACAGGCTGTCTTGTCTGATCAAGCATAGCAGCCTCTCCGACAGAGAGATACTCTTTAATCATCTCTAGCTCGCTTTGTTCAAGATCAAACTTAGATGAGAAGAGATGGAGCATTAGATCTTTAATTGTGCCTGGCTTTAACTGTCCCCGACGATAGTGACAGACATCACGAGCACAATTAAAAAGCCGCTCAACACCAGCGCCACTTGCAGGAACTGAGAGGATATCTCGTGCAATCTTTGCAAGGACTGGATACTCGTGCTCATGCTCCTTCCAGAAGACCCGAGGATTACCTTTTGTGAGCCCTATAAAATTAATTAACTTCAGAATAGTATAGAAATAGAGAATATGTACCTTTTGCCAAATACCGTGTTATTTCATCCTCCGGTTGATCCACTTCAGCTTGTAGAGCTGTCTGTGATTCACATAATAGCTCAAGCTCATTTTCAGCAGGATCAAAGATTGCTTGGTTATCAACCGGTTCTGTTTCCTGGATAACCTGCTGCTGATATCGCTTAAACTCCTTCTGTAAAACCTCCCGGTAATGCTTCATGAAATCGACTTCCTCTCCTTTCTCATTTTTCCTCTCCAATCCGCATTATCAAAGTATCGAAGCTTCTTTGATGGACAGAGAATTGTTGCAATCGCATAGACTGTGCCATATGACTCATTGTCTGTTTCAGTGTAGTATTTTGAGAGCTTTTTTTTGCTGACTGAAGTGCCTGAAGCATTCTCCTTTTCCATGGGACAGCTTTACGTTTCAGTTTCTTCTCAACGTCATCAAGATGATTAAATAGCCGATTATAGATACTGAAGACATGGTGAACTGTAACATCTCTGGTCTTTGATAATACACTAGTAAAATCAAAGAAAGGCTTAGTGATCAGAAGCAAATATTCAACTTGGCGCCATTCCTCTTCATCTAGCTTAAATTGAATATGTTGATATGTTATACAATACCGATCAAAGACTGATTGTAATTTCCTGGCACGATTAAGCATCAGAAAGGTAGAATTCCAGCGTGTGCGAACATCTTGG